GCCCGCCACATTCAAACGGAATTCTGTTTTGGGATTCCGTTTCGGAATTCCGAAGGGGTCGGCCACACACATATACGGAATTCCGTCTTGCCCGCAAGATTTCGAACGGAAAACTACGTGTGTGACGGGTCATATATTTTATATGGAGTTGCTGCGTTCGGAATTCCGATTCGAAATTCCGAAACGGCCGGGCTATTCACAATCGTCTCGGAAAGCGAAATCGACTCGGATTCGATAACTTCTCGCACCGAAACCAATAAACGCTGTTCACATTTAACGTTCGGATAAAGGTCACTTAGATACATCCCATAACTATTGTATCGTCATTTAGTTACATGCATTTACGAATTTTGTAGATAAATAGGCATTTTGTATTTTTTTTAGAGTAACGCCTGAACAAAAACATAAGGCAATATTTTTGTGTTAGCCATTGATATCGAATATAAAAAATATATACACATATCTAAGTAACCTTTATCCGAACGTTAAATGTGAATAGCGTTTATTGGTTTCGGTGCGAGAAGTTATCGAATCCGAGTCGATTTCGCTTTCCGAGACGATTGTGAATAGCCCGGCGGGAAATCCGTATGTATGTGGCGGGCCTAATAAGGCATAATTCATAATGTCTAGACAGTTTAAAAAATGCCCAATATGACTAGTTACTAGGCAATATGATAAAAATATTGAAATAATTAAATTGACCGGGCATTATGAATAAAATCCATTACGTATTGGGCAGAGTAATAGAAAGATTTAGGTTAGGTTTGGTTAGGACCAGACAATGTAATAAATAATAAAGTAGAAATCAGTATTAATTACGTAATCCGACTTGACTTGTATCATTCATATTGCCCGGGCATTTTAAATAATGCCCTAATTAATTACTATTTTTATAGATTAATGGTGACAAAAGAGCAGCACACATTCTCTACACTCACCATACGAAACACAGCAGCATTAAGCTGCTATTTAACTGCAAAATTATGTGATTCTGTGACTTTGTCCGAAACATACACATGGTCAATACAATTAGGTGCCCTTATTTTCTCTAAAGGTGTGATTAATTAAGATAATATTTTTACTAAAACAAAAACATTTATCATTTTAAATAATTTAAATATAAAATACATCACTTGTACTTTTTAATAATTTAAATATAACGAAAATTTCTTAAGCACAATAGCGTATGGAATAAAACGCTTATTCCTGTAATTCTTCGTGAAGTGTATACGTAGAAACTTAAATACAAATATTTACTTTTTGGTGATATAAAATATCTACTATTTGGTATTAAAAGCGAGCCGATTCAGATTTCTACAAATATGTGCTTATAAAGTAACGATTGCCGTGAAAGAATTAATGCTATTCATATTCGAGCATAGTTACCTATATAATTTAAAGCAAAATTATAGCAGAGGCGCATTTCATGCTGGTTAATATGACTCACTAACCGTTACCGTTACAGACTATTAAAGTCCACTGCTGAACATAGGCCTCCCCCATAGATTGCCTCGTAGGGGGGATATTTGCAATAGTTGCTACGCTAGACAAGAGGCCTGGCAACCGCAGTTTTTTTATTTTTATTCGTTATTAGGAAGGCGCTGCTGCCTGTCTCCTGATTTGTTTCCCTATGTAGCCTCTCACGATACCCACGGAATGATATGGGGTAGTGGATATTCTTACACCGCCACTACACGGTATTTATATTCGAGCATAGTTATTTAATTGAAAGCAAAATTAGCAATGGCGCATTTCACGCTGGTTAATATATATAAACTTATCATTTGTTTAAATATTTGAAAAAGAACTCAATGATTTTATGAATACAACTGGCGTGGTATATCACATGCAATGATAGTACGATCAGACATCTTGATTTTTTTCCATTATGATTCATCCCAATTGTAAAATATAAATACAATAAAATAACGCATCAAATTCGAGTATACCTATCCCTCCATTTATAAAATACGGCTATATTGTTTTAGTGTACACTACACACACTACAGTAACCCAATTCGTCCCGTAGGTAAGAGGCGACACCTACGGGACGTTCGTCCTAATAACAACTCAAAATAATATTTTTTAAAAATACTGCGGTTGACAGCGTGGCAATTATGGCAAAATCCCTCCATGAGGCAATCTAGGGGAGACACCTGTGTTCAGCTGTGAACTTTTATAGACCGTAATCGATGGATGGATAATGTTCTTTACCGAGAGGCTGCAGCCGTACATAGAAATAATACGCAAAGCTATATAAGATTCAACACAAGAAACAATAAATAATATTAACAATTAATAGATTTAACAAAATCTACAAACTATCTTTAAACATTAGAAATTCGAACAAACTAAAGTTTAAACTAAGTCATTATAGCCAGGTCAACTAAGTTAATACCAAAGTACTTAATTTTACAAAGAAAAATGTTATATTGCAATATATAAAAATAGTAGCTTTATTAGAAATAGCAGAGGCAGAGATAGCAAATGTACAATTTATTTTTAAGATCGCTAAACAAGTGAATTTATATAAATACATTACAATGCTACAAGCCTTTAAATGGACTGGGTTGTGCAAAAATCATCCAATCCACAAACTGGTCAAAAATTGATCCAGATGCTCTTTTTCAGTTTAGTTCCATGTATGAAAGACTTGCAGAATAACAAGTAATACCAAATACATTAAACTTTCTTTAAAAATTATAAACGTAAAATGATATACAAGTTGAACATCGGATAATTCGAACCTTGTTAAGTGGTAATCCTCAGTAAAACGAAAAAAAATGTCATTCCCTGATCCGCTGAATCGATAAATGCGCGGTATCTCGAATTATTTAGACTTTTGCACCTGCGAGCTATGGATAGTAGGTAACATATATACAGGTACATAATTATACTCAATAGCTCGAATTTCAAAAAGCAGAGCGCGTAAGTCAAAGTTAGTAAAACAAATTGACGCCTTATTTGGAATTCCTCGAAACTCATATTATATACACTTTTTTAAATGAAAAATTATTTAAAAAAGCAAAATTCGTTGGACAAAATAGTTCCACGTCGAAATTTTTCATATAAAAATAAAACATTTGTATATTTCAGATTTGAAAAGAGTGTAACACAGTGTTACTAGCTGGTTGTGATATAAATAAAAAATATAATGTGGTAATACACAAAATTTTATAGTTTTATGGCCCGAAAGTATTTTTACACAAACATAATTAAATGTTATTTAATAGGTATCGCAAACATAAATGAATTCACCAAGTTCGTACATTACATGTAAGTACTTGATAAAAACACTTTATTATGTTCAGCATTAAATACGAGGATATTTGCGCAACAATATAATGTAGGCTTTAAACATATCTATTGTTGTCGTGCTGTACCCGAACGTTCGAAAAAAACAAAATTATATTCTCAGATTCCCCTAAACCAATATTAGACCGATTTTTTAAATCATTCATAAACAGTATAAGGATTGTTGCTTTGGTTGTATGTTTTTGACGTGAATACATCTTTAAATTTGCTTCCATCGCGAGAGGCAATTCGGAATACTGATGATACTCGTGTCAATTCTCCAGGGAGTAAACAGAGCAATACGTTTTTATGGATTGTATACCGCCCGAAAATTATTTAAATAAGTTTGAAGAATGTCTAGTTTCACATATTTTCTAATTTAGTTTCAAATAAGGAACAAAGATTCGATGCGTACATAATTTATGAAAAATCAAGAACTTTCATAGTTTTTACAGGTGCAGCCTATGTGTGAGCTACAGCCACAGGGCTTACAGCGCCTACTCATCATTATAACAATGCTTTTAGGATGCTGATGAGAGAGCCCCGCTACTACAGTTCGTCAGGGATGTTTTCTGAAGCGAGAGTAGATGGATTTAATGTCATCAGAAACAAAAAAGTAGTCTCTCAGTTGCACAGAACTCGGTATAGCGAAAATAGTATCCTATATTGCAACACTGGCTGGACAAAATTTTGTAATTTATTTAAGCATTTTTTTTAACTGTGTTTAAATTTTATTTTTATTAATATTTAAAGCTGCTACTAGTCTTAGAAACTTTAAATGAAGATTAATTATTATTATTATATCCCGCAAATAACTCTTTTGTCACATGACATGAAAAACGTAGAACCCTCCCATAAAAAAGCTTTTATTTAAACAGTTTTAAATAACTAAATACAGTAATATAATTATAAATCTATTTAAAATCATACAGATATTTTTACCGTGGTCGAATATTTAGAGTTCAGCTATTCTACGTCTCAGCTACTGCAAGAAGTAGCAAGTCGCACGAGGAGAGGAAAAGCATCACGTTAACTACAGATATCTAAGCATTTCTTTCAATCGAGATCCCTGTGACCGATTAAGTTATATCTACTACAGAAATACGTTATATATTGTAATACATCATTTTATAAATACCACATATTATATTAAGCACAGATAATATACATTTTATACTTTTTAGCAACATTTATAATTGCAATTTGAATAAAATTATCGCAATTTATTAGAAGCCAAAAAATTAAAAACAAATCAGTCGATTTTTTTAAATATATAATTTTTTTTCATTGTCATCCGATTTTGAACTCAAAGAAATTATATCTGTTAAATACATTAAATCTTAACAATTAACTAGACAAAAAACAAAATATAAGGAACTTATACTGCACTCTTCAAATTATATTAAGTTACATTTTTACCTCTCTGCTTCGTAAGAGTTATTCAGCGTGTTTTTGTAAACTGTTATTGACTAAGTGTCGCAATGTATATTTTAAGTATGATTGTTAAAACTCGGTGGAAAATGCTGTTGATTCTTAATAAAGAAAAAATATTTACAGATGTCACACTATACACAGGTAATACACTAAATAGCATAATAATCGTAGTATCAGTGAGGGTAGGCCGTGTGTATGGTCCAACCTCGTTTGCAAAGAGTATCTCGTTTGTTTTCTCAACAGATGGTGAAGATCGAGCGCCCGCCGTCATCTCAGGAGAGAGCCGATCTCGGCTGGCTCGTGTCGTACGCCCGGATAACGTCCGCCTGCGAGACGGTCCCGCCCTCCTCTTGCGAGAAAGCGAACCCATCTGTATCGCACCCGAATACGCATGTCAGTAACAGTAATGTGCCAAATACGACAGACATATTTGAGCAAAAAAAAAGTGATCCACACATGTTTCTAATAAAAAATTCTAATTCATGATCCAGTGCTGAACACAGTGTACTAATTAAAGAAGCGTTTGATTTTAATAAGTCACAGTGTACCTGCGCGGATCCACTGCGAGAGTTAGAACTGTGGATAGAGTGTGTAGGGCGTTTGCGGTGCTTAGTGTGGTACTCACGCGACAGTTCGAGTTCCGTGTTGACTCTGCTCGCAGATCGGCGTCCGAACACGCTGCGTACATTGTGCAGAAGCCGCGCAGTCTCCGTGAGGCTGTCACACACGGTCACAACCGATAACACTCACGTATAATAACCAAACGGGAGCACTCCCTATAGGAACCATTCATATCCTGTTCGGTATAGAACAAGCGAAGGAGGAAATCTGTTGTAATCTGTAATACCAGGGTCCTGAGATACAAGCTGCGCTTAGTTTAGCACCCGCAGTTACCTGTATTTATATAATGTTACTTTTGTTGTTAAGATTAAATAAAATAAAAATACCTGATTCAAATGTAGTCTACGAAATGCGCTACACGTTGCTGAAGTAGAGCAGAAATTTTCTTATTGCTATTGATTTTTTTTAATGACGATATTTTGAACCCAATTATAAAATATATGAAGTATCAAATTTTGAGTTGTTTACATCATTTAATGAAACTAGTTTTTACCGCGTATATAAACTTATTTTATATTCCCGACTTTACGAGCATTTTACAGCACCCATGGTCAAGGGGGGACGAAGGTACTCGACGTCCCAATGTCATAGTTAACCACGTCTGCCTTCTGATTAAAATTATAAATTTTTGGTCCGATATACGCAGCGGGAACTTATAGCATCTAGTAGTCATGGAGTTGCAGTTTAATTTTATTTAAATGTGTCGTGTTCGCGTAGATATAAGAATCATTATTGTTCACAACAGTTTTCCTCATTCAAAAGAAGAAAAAAGAGAATAAAAGTAAGGAAAAAAGCGTGCAAAGCCGCGTGCAAAGCCATGCAAGCGGGACGCGCCCGTACTTACACTGCGCCAGACGCACCAACGCGTGCGCGGCCTCCGCCACACTGTGCACAACCACCAAAGTTAGTTCTTGGGCCAGAATAACACCTTCGCTCCACCGAGATTTAGTAACAACTCACACAAAACAACACTGTATCGAAAAATATCCAAAAAGATCATTAAAAAAAAGGGAAATTGATTCCTCAGAATTATTACAAAAAATTCTATAAATGCACCAACTAGAACATCTATGGTATTTGGCCACAGATGTTCTAGTTGGTGGTCAAACGCTCTTCAATTTTAAGATGCCGTCTTAAGTCTTAAGCTGTCTCTATTACTTTAAGTCAAAATGACTGTGACAGAACGAAACTTAATGACATATTGAGCAGCGTTTGGGTATTTGGGCACTAGATCATCAAAATATTCACATTTGGTGACAAAATCAGCCAAAGGCAATCTAGGCCATAACTCAACCTTGAACATAATTCAACGTCGATATAACAACTCCCTGTCCAAATAAATAGATGCAATAGATTACAAATGATCTAAGTTTCAATTATGAAAAAAAAATCTCTTTTTTATGTTGGATATTCTTCGACACATGAAATTCTTTCTAAAATTGAAATTACACAACTCAGACAATTCCATCAGTTTTATTAAATAGAAATAATCAATACAAACAGTAGCAATAGCGCTTCCTTATAAATAAAAATACTTTAGCCACATGTTAGCGTCACATGAGAGGTATCTTCTAAATAACAAAAAAATTGAACTGAAATAATTTAGACATTTGTACAATATAGTGATGAATCAGAAAAGACGCGGTCACGTATCATTTATTTTAATAAAAACACAAAATAATTATGACTGTAAACTTAAATCTTCTCATCTCAACAATTTGTAGCAAACGCTCACTTCTGCTATAAAATACTATACATTAATACCACACAATAATCATAAAGATGTGTGAAGAGATATGGGCATCGTTTCAGATAATGGTAATCATGTTATATAAATGACCATGTGCGAATAAATTACAAAATTAAATACGTATTTAAACTGAAAACTTAAGAAGCATAACAAAAAGCGGAAGATAATAACAATATGTTCGATTATGTACAGGAATCGGGAAGGAATAATTATTGAACAATGAACGTCGAGATTCGTCCGCAATCGTATGGTTCATCACATATCTTCCATTTAGCATTTTATACTAACGTTGCGAAATACGAAAATTGCAAACCTCTAGATATAATAACTAGCGTACTAATAAGTACAGTATTACACTATGGAACACGAGATAAAAAAGCTACGTTCTGAACATCACATTGTATTAAAATTTAATACAGCCTTTTAATGACGGAATGTACATGTACAAACCCTATGCCGAATATACGAACATAATAAATTAAACTCTTAAAAGATCAAGATAAAGTTCAAATTGTGAAAAAGTTAAAATTAAATTTGAACTTAACCTTAGAGGAACTGCATCATATAGTATTATTAATTATTAATTAATATGTTAGTATATTCGGCCACTGTAAACAAACTAAGTCCTAATTTGTGGCACACCGTTTACTACACTACAACAAAAACACGTCTAGTTTCATCATTAACAAATTTATAGCACGGGGTATCTCAAGGTACTTTTTTAAGACCTTTATTATAACAGTTCGATAATAATATAGATAGTTGCTAAAAGTTATTTTTGGGCTTATGTTTTTGTAACTGCATTCATTTGATATGTTAATCAGTATTAATGAAATTTTCACCACCATTTCTTTTAATACATATATTTTTTTAAGGATAGAGTGTGCTTAATTCATAAAACTATGAAACTAGACGCAATTAATCACAATTTTAATAAATATGAATAATTAAATAAAACATCAACAATTCACGTAAAGTCTACACATAAGTTCACTTAACAAATTATCTGTTAAATTTAACAATATAAATGTCTTAATTTGTCTTAGGAGTTCCTTCATGAGAACGTTATTAATCTAAACCATTTAAAAATTTTGCTAGATAATAATATTTTCAACTTTATTGAATTCGAATATCAAATTCCATTATCAGTTTGTATCAAATATCACCTAATCCACGAACAATGTAAATTTATTTTAAGAAGAGTGGGCATTGATTATGAGAAAAGTTTTGAGGAATGCTATAATCAATCAATAAATTTTCACACATTTTTTCATAGTCTTCCTCGTTTATTTAATCGTCAATAGCGTAAATAGCTTATTACACTACTTCTGTTTGATATGCTAGCTCAATATTCGTATACACATAAAGTTGTATAATTACCATTTAATGGTTGATATTCCCCTTATCATATATCTCAGGTGAGTCCAACTTGGAGTGGAAACAATTATTACAATCAATATTGTATAATATTACAATCAACATTTCTATAAAAATATCTCTAGAAGACGTCCATACATGAGGTTCCTTGGAAAACTTAGCAAAAAGCTACCAAGCTTATTAGAAGACAAATAGCGTCTTAGTAGTGAATGCAATACTTCAATATAGGAACACGATAAACACCTACGTCAAAGGAATTAACAGTACTTAGGGACAATGTCAATATTAACAAATATATGTCAAAATTTAAAAATTGTTTATAAAGTTCCTACTAATCTGTATAGTAACACCAGTTACTTTAGACTGATTATTTATACAAATATTCTTTGATTCTTTGATATAATTCTAAATATTGACCATGTTTTGCAGAAATTATCCAATCCACAAAATTAAACTTATGACTTGAAACCTAAAAAAAGCATCTACGCTTTTTCCAGTGGTAGAAGCCTTATTATATCATGTTATGTAAATAATTTAAAAGAAAAATGAATGTAGATGTTGGAGTTACTTGTTATTGTTCAGAAGCCTTTAATACTTGGAAATAAACTGAAAAAAGAGCTTCTGGATTATTATTTCGATCAGTTTGTGGGTTGGATCATTTCTGCACAAGGCGGTTCATTTATGGCGGTGCATTATTTTACATATTTTATAACTGAAAATATATGTATTACAGCTCAGTAAATTATTTAGGTCCTTTGCTAAATCTCATAATAGAAAAATGCTAAAAATAATTATAATTAACTTTTTTTGATGCTGAGATTTTTTATAATTTATTAAAAAAACTAATATAATTATATAGGTAAGTTAAGTAATGTGAGCTTCCAAGATTAGGAAGACACTGTTTTGATTTAAATATAAATGTACTGGGATTGTTCTTTGTAACGAACATTTGTTACAGATTAAACTATTTTGTACAATTAATGTCAAACGTGTCTTTTAATGTCCTGTTAGGAGTATTCAAACAAAATATATCAGGTTTTAAAATAGATAATACAGAGTACTTTGTACATTTTTACAAATATCAAAGCCAGACTGAACGGGACGAACTGAAAGTGTCGTTTTTGATGAGAGAAATTTTTAGATTTCGAAAATGATCGAATCCAAAGGTATTTTAAATTTATTTTACGTTATACAACATGTAACAAAAACCTTGTGGTTCCGATTAAGTGCGTTATTAGAACCAGTATTCAAACACATAAAAATATTCAATTTAATTTAAATAAACTATTATTTTAAATGTGGTTTTATTACTTCTGCATTGGCCGCAGAGTAAGGATGTTGTCAAAGACCTTTAGAAAAGAGCTTTATCGATGCGTGTTGAAAATAAAGAGTGACAAAGCAAATTTATGTTGGAGACGTGAACGGCAGAATCGGCAAGGGACACCCTAGACGAAAGTTTGTTAACCAAATTGGCGATATATTGAAAGATAGGCCAGATTAAGATTAAACTTAACCGGTGACCATGTATGCGGTCTACAGATATAAAGGAGGCGAGAAAGGTTCAGAATCGTGTCAAATGGAAGTCCATAGTTTCTGCCTATCTCTATGGGTGACAGGCGTGAGTGTTTATGTGTATACTGATTCTGATAACGTGTTTAACGGGAACCACAGGGTTTTTATTAAATGTTGTATATTGTTTAAGTTTTCGTTCGGTTCCATCTAGCTTCTGTAGCAAGCTATAACAATGACTTCTCCTTTAAATAAAACTAATTTTTATGTATATTACAAAATATCTAGTTTTTACGTATAATTAACTTGTTTATACGGATTTTATTGTGTATATAATAATATACGTATTAAAATTCGTAAAAATTAGTTTTATTTAAATCTGTAGTGTTCGCGTGTAAATAAGAAATCATAATGACTTCTTCGTCGGTATATACAGATGGTTCGACAATAATGTCATCTCCTTCGGCATATACAGGGTGCGTGTATAAGTTCTCCGACAGTATATACAGGCGGTTCGTCACCAATGGCATCTCGTTCGGTATATACAGGTTGGTTGGTTATGTGGGAGGCGTCAGCGGAGCCCCTTGGGCGGGGCCGCGCGGTGTCAAATGACGTGTCCGTTGCGGTCGCGCGGCGCCACGCGGCCGCGCCGCCGCCCGCGCCTGCCCCCAACACACAACTTGAGACCGCACCCCGCACCCCGGACCCCGCAACGCGGCCCTAACTCACCCCACACACTCGTGCTAAGATAATTACGCGCTACTTTGGGATATCAATACATGAAATCTGTTTATTGTTTTTCGATGTTAAATATTAAAATTTCGTTTTAGTAAAGCCGTTTCAATAATTGCTACCGTCTGAAATAACAATTAATCGTCCCAGGGCACATACTTCATTTTTGAAGTGAAAACTTCTTTAGTATCTTTGTGATTTGAAACTCGATGAAACAAAAAAGCGGCACTAAAAAGAGACAGACATATACGCCTGTTGGATTTATCCTGCCAGAGAATGAGATGGAATACAGTATAGTGTTTCTTATTATTATTTTTGCAGTCTGTATAATATGTAATGTAATACGTAATATATGAAGAATAAAATATAAAATTTCTAAGCTTGGTAACAATGGTATTATAACAAATATACTATAGAATTACCCTACACCTGACACTCTGAATTTGTCTAATTCTTTCATAGTTTAGTTTTCTGAAAGTTTTACTTCTACTGCGATGATTTGGACACACGTGTTTTTTTTTAAATTTATTTATTTAGTGTTTATCAAAGACTTCTACGTTTACTACAAGACGGGCTCTGCGACCTTAATACACTGCGCACTAAATTACGGTCAATTCTCTGATACTCCTTTAGTCTATGAGCGGTCGAGAAGACTAGTTCTTTGTTTTGTAAACCGCGGACGTTGTTTCTGACTAACGTTGTCTGTGACTCAGAAAACGCTGTGCGCACTTTATCAACATGATTTGAAATTTATTATATATATATATATAGTAGATATTTGCCTAAAAACAGTTACTGTCGTAAATTGAAATACAACTGCGTGGCATATTTACCGTGCTCGATCCACAGCCGTGACACAGTTTTTGTTCTGAACTGTCGTTCTGGTAGTATAGGTACATAAAACTTTTGTCTTTATTGTGTAAACCGTAACTAAAAGTTATAGAAAGGGCAAACTTAGTTCAGGAGTTCAAGTCAACCCGAGAGTATAATCATAGATGTTTGTAGTTATGAAAATTCTTTGAAAAGTAGTCTGTAAATTGTATATTTCTATGTCGTTCAAAGGCAACACTTAATTAAAAAATTATCTTGTTATGTTACCAAACTAATTATAAATCGTTATTTTTAATTCGCTTGAGTAAATAATACTATTATATTATCAATTTCACCTAAAGATACACCCAGAAATTTAAAATAGCATTTGCGCACTGATGAGAATATCTTAGCACGAGTGAAGGAGCGTCCGAGTGCAAAGAGGGGCGGTGCAAAGCAAACTAAACATATAACTAAAAGGAAACTAAAAGACATTGCGTGCGCACTACACATGTACGTGTGGATAACGATTGGCCACCGTTTTGTAAAACTCGTACTTTACAAAATGATGGTCAATCGCAGAGATTGTAATACAGAAAGTGACGGGTAAAACCAAATCTAATATAGCTTATAAATGAAACTGGTGCATATATATATGTTATAAATATAACATAGAATTCAATACGTAGAGTATAATATGAGAAAAATTAGAGCTAAAATTGTTGTATGCGTAATCAGAACGAAACTGTATAAAATTAATCAATTATGAGAAGAAAATTAAGAAGCGAACGAGTACAATTTTTTAGAACCTCATTCTCAGTTTGACTTAGTTTTATAGTTTTTATCTGAGAATACCGATAAAGATGTGCGATTACTTAAAAATAAATGGAACAATGTGACTAAATATATATATTTAAATAAATACAGATCGCTTTAAACAAATAAAAAAACAATATTAGTAATATGATTAGTAAATACTTCATTTCGACATTAAGTTCTAAGTTCAGTCTACACACATTCCAATACAATACAACAAAACAAACACGCAAACACACATCTTGCAATATCATCTCACTCTAAAACATCAACTGATTCATAATACTTTCCTACTTATTATATTTGAAATCTATTACTAAAGGATATCACTAAGGAACATATTATGACCATTATTATTTCTATATTTCATTAAAACAAAAAATAATCCAAGCATCCGAACTGTTTATATTACATTCATTACATTATATTAAAATTAAAATAAATATAAATAATAAAATTAAAATAATTAGACTGCATTTTTAGACCAAGCAATTACAACATTTAATAATTAATGATTCCTAAAAGATCTTATGTTCAATTCAAACTCTATGGTGCAATAGTTTACAAATCTGTCTTAATATATCTCATTAAATTCTTATCATTTTCTTATTGCGGAGAGATAAGAGGATTTTCTCTCGCTTATCTTCAATCAACCAAGGCCGGAGAGATCTCGAAACTAATTTAGAATTACGTTCGTTGAAATCTAATCTATTTTGACGTGGCGCTATCATTTGGTCTACAAACATAGCTGGAATTTGGCGCATGATGTGATATAGTGATGTAAATATTGACACAAACGCAAAACATCGTTCTTATTTAACTTTCCATATCCGGTAAAACATCAATAATAAAATAAAATTTAATCAAGAATGAAATAATAAATCTAGACCTTAAGAAATTAAGTCAAGCGATTTTTAATCCTTATGACCTAAGAGGCTGTAATAGTTAAAAGTTTACGAATGCCACAGGGTTCAATGCTTAGTCCAATTTTATTTTATTATTCAACTTATGCTTGGGACATGTTGAAACTCCAGCTTCATTTTTGTGATTTGGATAAACACTTGTACTTACTTGTTTCACATTATATAACAATTCTTATTATACTATTTATATCTTTGTTATTATATATGATACTGTGAGGCGAAATTTGAATTATATATTGTCAACTAGTACAAGTGTTTATCCAAACAAAAAAAAATTATTATATTATTCTGTTTACTAACTATACGACAATAAAAACTAAAACTAGAGTGTTTTAAAAGGAATCAATATAAACAGTTCGAATGTAATGAATTTTTATATTTAAACAAATTCTGCACGTTGAATAAAACTAATTTTTAGGATTTCATCGGACAACTACATGCTCGGCCACTTTCCACCCCATAGTTGTAAACATTCCCCCCATTCTAACGGTTTTAGTTTTAGTAGTCTTTTTGAAGTCTTCGGCTTCATCACCACTTACCATCAGGTGGGATAGTAGCCAAGCACTGGCTTATCGTACTTAAAAAAATTGTGTTATGCGCATTGTAACTATCCAGTTAAGTTTTATTCAACGTACCGAAACGGTTTATAAGGAGATATCGTATACGTATAATTATATGCTTCTTGATTATCATAAAGCATACAACAATTATGAAATGCGATGACATAATATAACACAAGTTTTAGGATTAATGAACAACACTTTTCTTGCGAGTTGGGTTTTCCAGTAATCATTTGTTACTTAGCTATATAAATATATAAAATTCCAAGGGTTACATAAAATGTCATGTACATTATGATGATCAAGAGAACACATAGTTGAATATTAGTTTGTCTGTCTGTGTCTGTCTGTCGGAAAAGTTATGCGTGAAGTACTCACGAGTGTCGTGGCTGTGCGAGTAGTGCGGCAGGATCGCGTTTCTTTATCTCGCTCTCTCGTACCGCTTCTGTCATCGTCTTGAACGCAGAGTTGTGGATGCTGCAAATTTTGATCATAAGTATAGCTCTTTGCAGCTGATAAGTTCGTTCAATTTTAACAAAACACTAACGAATACGCCTACTTAGAAACGCTAATTTTGAGGGTATCTTTAATTGTTATGATTAATAGAATAAGGGTGACAAACGAGCACACATTCCACCTGATGTTAAATGGATACTGTGGGCCATAGACATCTAAATTTATCCCTATTCATAACAATTTAAAATGTAGATGCGTTGCCACCCTTTACGGCTAAGATATAACGCCTCGTTTTTAGTTAAAAGGTCACCAGTTCTCTACACTGATCGTACAAAATATAGCAGCACTAAGCTATTATTTTATCCTGGTAGTCTCTGTGAGAGCGTGGTCCTTCCCCGGTCAAGCCAACCCATTCATGCTACAACCATAACATAGCTGTAGCATGGCTCTACCACGTAAGAAAATATAATATATTAAATTAACCTCGTATCTAACGCTTCAATATTCGCTGGACAATGTGAAATCATACGAAGGTGTGCGTAGTCACATTGGTGAGCCGACGCGACAAAATATGGATAGGGGAAATGTAACTCAGATAATGTTCAAGTTCTGAAAAGAAATTAAGATTCAATAAAGTCATCGACCGTCCTGACTCCTAAGCAAAACGTTATGTCCAGCAGTGGAAGAGAGCAAAAGTACAAAGTGCGAACATAGGCCTCCTCCGTAGGGTGCCTCTTAGGGCATTTTGCCGTAGATACCACGCTTGGTAGGCGGGTTGGGAACCAGTTTTTTTTTTATAATTTTAAGATGCTGCTGCTCATTTCCTGTTTCAGTTTCCCTCTGTCGCCTCTTACTACACCCATGATATGATATGGGGTATAAATATTCGTAAACCGCCACTACACGGTTACCTACGTACGCGGGAGTAGGTACATCCGTAATTATGTAAGGTGTTTGGTAATAGGCAAAGAATACCTACTTACCACTACAAAGTATTTTTATACTAATGTTAAACACTTGCTACCCGCGGTGCCATAAATCATAGATGCGCTAGGGACAGACGCGTGCGGTGCGTCTCTTATCGATAACCACTTATTAAGTGGCGAAGCTTGCGAAGTCACTTATTGATTTCACGATGTCTGTCCGTCTGTCCGTCTGTCCCACGATTATCTCGAGAACGGTTTTGAATTTTCAAATTCTGTTTTCAGCAATCGATTACTGATCACCCAGGCTCCTATTTTGAAACTGATTACTCAACGGCAACCGTTAGAAACCGCTACAAAGCTGATTGCTTCGCCACTTTGCTATGCTGTTAGCTTGCTAGGTTTATTGATTCCTAGAAGGATAAAGAATAGTGTGCCCCGGCACGCGGTAGTTTAATAAAAAGTGCAGGTAATTTAATAATTATTCTGCAAGGTTAATTTAATAATTATTAATTACGTTTAGGGGGTATAAATACCAGTTTTAATATGTTTCTAAAGCCTTTTGACATTTGGACGTTGTTGATTAATGATTAGTGATTTAACATAAGTAAAATGGACGCTTTTTGGAAAGCAATGATAAACGTGTTAGAATATTCAACTTCAAGCAAACAATGCGCATGTTATTAACAATGTGCTAACATTTTTAACGGAAGTTAAAGAAGATCCCGAAAAGTTGAAGAGTATTAATTTCAACTACGCTCGTGGACTAGCTACCAAAATTTGTAGGGATCAGATGGGAGTGCACTGATGAAGGACCAACTTGCCCGCCCAAACAGAAAGCACATCCATGTGAGCGCCTTGTCATTAGCGTAGGTGACGATAGCAACAGTGACTCTGACTCGGACGAAGATTAATACCTATTTTAAATATTTATTCATTTTATTTAGTCTAAGTATGTATGTATTTTTGATCAATAATAAATGTAATTATTGAATAGCTTTCTTTTTATTTTGCATTTTTTATTTATCATAATATACACATCGATATAACAGTGGTGCGTCACTATGCCTGCCGTAAGGCCCGTACGTGCGACAGAGAGCGCAACAGGCGGCGTCCTGTTTCCCCACTTTATTGCACCGCGGGCAGCGAGTGTTTAACATTAGTATATCACATTTTATCATCATCATTATCAATACAGCCTATCAAAAGTTCACAGCTGAACATGGGGCTCCAGAAATTACCTAATGTTTGGGTTTATTTACCATAGTAGAAATTTAGAGAAAAGATTTACATATTCCTCTTACAACCCAAACTTGGTGTACAAAAGCGTCGACAGTGTCGGAAAGCATCAAACAGCGCTAACTTTTTTGGTATGGTGTTAGACTTTGCTATCCATAAGGCACTTTGCATAATATGAAACTTATTCTGCTAAGGTTTTCAGTTAGTTTTTAAACTAACCAAAGAACTATAGAACCAACAAAGGATTGACAACTAAATGGACTATAAAATCAATGTGTCTATGAACATTTACTCAACCGCAACAACAATATTCAACTCTACATGTTACCAGTACTCTAACTAATGCATAATTAATACTTTATTTAAGATCTAATAAACAACGAATAATAAAATATTATTCAAAAACTGAAGGTAGCAAAGTGAAAGTAAATTGAATTGTGAGTTTGGCAGAAGGCAGCTAGGACTTTTTCTGTCGCCAGTGCGGCGCCATTTTGTAGTGAGGTGAAATATAAGACAGATTTCATAGCGGGGAAGATAAATTGTTATTAAAATATAGGGGTTAATGTTTCTTTCTGTAATATTAGTTAGATTAGAAACGAATAAACCAAACTACAGATATTCCTAAAAGTAGTAAAACTAAAAAAAAAATTAAAAATGTGGCAACAATTAAAGAGAAAACTACTGAGCCTTTGTTTTGTGTATAATACTCTCGAAACTGATAAACTTTTATTTAATACTTACTTATCAATTAAATGACATTGTGTAACGAAAATCTTCACCTCAGTCTCAACTAATCAACTCATTATGGGAGGGAGCGGTTTCTCAAACGAGCGAGATATACCATTTATTTAATCACGCGGATTAAAATTAACTCACAATTTATAACAGTAGTAAAAGTTTGATATAGTAAACAATGACAAATCAACATAACAAAAATAAAGAAATAACATAAAAACGTGCCGTTTCTGTGTAACTTTGTAACCAACCATACAGTAAGGGCAAAAACAGAGGCGACAACTCTTTCAGTTTTGAGCCATCCTTCTCATTTATATTAAGGTATTAGTGAGTACTAAGTACCACTGGAAAGTAAAATTCGAATAATTTAGAACTTTCTAGATTTTTCTAAAGTAAAGAGAAATATATTATAACTAAATAAATATAGCATATACGATCTACAAGAATGCGTAAACAAAGACCGATAATAGTGTAGTTACGGGCGCGCAGCAAGCACATCTTCAAACGCAGACTCAACGCCGTATGTAATCTTTAAGTTTTCAAATAATACAGGTGAGTGAAATATAAAATGATAGGTTTTAAAGCATTCCAACTTAGATCTCGATCACATCTTTCCATATTTCGAGAACTAAAACTGACTGTTCGATAAAACATTTAACAGTGGTAGAGCCAGGCGGCAGCTTTTGCTGTCGCACGGATGGGCCGGCTCGAACCGGGGTAGTACCACGACCTCACAGAATACCAGCGTGAAGTAGAGGCTTACCTCTGCGTTTCGCTTGGTGAGTGCAGGTGGCCGGAGGCCCTTTTTACTGGAAATGAGGCATTTCATCCTAGTCCTCACGGGTGACAACGCATCTATATTTTGATTCGCAAACGAGGATAAATGTAGATGTCTATGGGCCACAGCAACCACTTACCATCAGGTGGACTGTGTGCTCGTTTGTCACCCTATCCTATAAAAAAAAAAAAAAAAAAAAAAAAAAAAAAAAAAAAAAAAAAAAATTCCCAGAAATGAGAAGTCTGTACACATAATTAAATATATATACTGTACGCCGTATGCAATATTTTTTCCCAAGCAATACAAAACCATAGGTAACATAAGCATTCTATATTAGTTCTCAATATGTGAAACATTTCGAGAATATGCTGGGAGGTCCGTAAAAACGCACTTGATCAGCGGAATGGACTAACTACTCTAAACCCGCCCGGAAATGGGAGGAAATCTGTGTCCAGCAGTGTGCAGTATAAATACTGTAACTTTAATTTTACGTTTTGTGTCACGATGTACAAGTGGAATTTTAAATATAGATTACCAATTATCGTATAACTTATAGTTGCCACTCTTAGCAGGCGGGTTGACAACGACAATTTACTACTTTCAGTTGATATCAGGAAGATACTGTCCTCTGTCGCTTGTTACAACACTCAAGGGACGATATGAGGTAGTGGTTATCCTTACACCACCACTACACGGTCAATTTTATTAGCGCTAATAGAAAGCTACAAAAATAAATGCGAGTGACACATCTCAGCTTTGACACAGGCGGGAATGACACATTTCAACTTTGAAATTAATTCGATAGACACATCTGAAATTTGAAATTAATGCGAAAAACACATCTCTATTTTGAAATGAATGGGAATGACACATCTCAACTTTGAAATTAATGAGATTGACACATCTCAACTTTGAAATTAATGAGAATGACACATCTCAACTTTGAAATTAATGAGAATGACACATCTCAACTTTGAAATTAATGGGAATGATACATCTCATCTTTGAAATTGATGTGAATGACATCACAACTTTGATTCAGGTAACAGTCCCTCGGCTAACTCCATAATAGCATAATCGTGACTATTTCAATAAAAGTATTTGACGGTTCTTAACAGATTAAGAACCGTCAAATACTTGTGTACAAACACTTTCTACATTTTATTTCTATTGTGCGAGATATTTGTGGGAATGTGCGATGTTGTTGGCTAACTGATAATCTCGCAATGACTCTCAGAAGGTGCCTAAGGTGCCTATCGGGTTCAGTAATTAAAATCTCAGAAGTCACAAATGTTGTATTTAGAAATTACAATTTACAGGTTAAGATATATGTTACGGGCGATACTATATATTTCCTATTTGGTAGCGGCCTAGGGTAGGCGTGACGGGGAACGACTGGCGTTCGCCGTCGAGTGCACTGCGGACACAAGTGTAAAATATCAAATCTGCAAAATTTATGTAACTACTGTGTCCCTACACTATACAAAGACACATTAAAGTAGCAGCTTCAATAATAATAATAATAAATGTATTTTGTGGGTTATTGGATATTAAATTAGTCCAGCAGATTTTATATTTAGATCATGTCATCCTCTTTATACTTATAATATATATGTTTGTCACACCAAAAATAAATAAACAAAATACAAGGCTTAATACTTACACAGTGACGACGAGATCAGGCACAAGGGTGGCGATGGGGATGAGGACCAGACCGAACCAGAAGACGAGCGAGCTGAAGACCATGCGGTCCATGCCGCGCATCACTGAACCGATCAAGATTAGGGGGTACATGTTGCTGGAACAATGGAAATATGATGTTGGCAAAAGTATTAGATAAGACAAATAATAATAATTAGTCAAAAGAAGTTTCTTAGCCCAAATAAAAAAATAATTATATAATTAGAGATAATACCTTTCCTTCGCTCCCCAATTTTTCCTCAACTTTTGAGCACTTTCTATAAATAAATTTTGTATGTGGCTGTCGATTTCTTAGTCATAAACACCCATATCTAGTATTAATTAAAAATCAAGGTGACCATATCTCGGATAACTAAGATGGGACACCTCGTTACCGGTAAAAAGGGTCGCAAGCGAAACAAAGCAGCATTATGCTGATCTTTCACGTCAGTATACTGTACAAGTGTGTTCCACATCCGATTGAGCTGACCTATTTGTGCTGCTACCAAATTATACTACAACTTGGCTCTACAGCGAAAAAGCATACACCATGCATTTTTATAATTTTAAACGTGGAATATTTTAGCTGAGGTTAGAATTTTGAAACACAATTCAATTAAATACTAATTAAAAGATACGTAATAGTCGTAACTTTCATACCTGTATATTAAAATGAAGATGAACCACATAGCCACAGAGCCCCAAATAGCCAAGTGAGTTACCCACGTCCAAGAATGAGTTGCCAGACCAGCCTTCAGGCACACCGTCATCACGACGTACTGCAGCAATGAAATATTTTGTATCTTCATTAAAGTTGTAAATATCATAGACTTGCAACGAATAGTATATTTGGCCACTCGCCGAATGCCGAATATTAAGCAAAAATATTAGGCCCGGAAGGAAGTAGTGTTTATTCAGAGCATCTTTTCTCTAAAGCTGAGATTGTCTACGAGAAGAAAAGGAGTAAACTTATGCTTGAGAATGCAGAAAAATTAATCTTTCTGAACCACAATCTTCTACTTATAAATTTTAATAGACATTTATCTGGCAGTTTTTGTTAATTTTTATAAACCGGAAGTTGATTATGTATGACTACTTTAATGATTACAAGAAAAATACATTATTATAAAATAAATCAATATTTTAATTTTAAAAATTATCTCACTACAATAAAACTTCTTAATTTAAGATATTCGGTGTTAGATGTTCGTTTCTCGACCGAATAGTATAAAAGTAGCCGAATAGGCTAAATAGTACCGAACACTAGGTGAATATTAGTTGCAAATCTAAAATTTGTTTTTGAAGTTATAACTTCTTTTGGGGCGTTTAAAATTTAAAATTACGAGAGCGAATTTTTTACGATGCGAGCGCAAACAGACAGATAAAAACGACACCATGAAGTTGTTACGATGCGCGCGCACACTGACACTTCAAAGTGACAACTTCATTGGGTAACTGTCTCTCAAGTTTTCGTGGGAACTGATAATTATATTTAAGGTTACGCTAAAGTATAAACTTCTTACGTCGTACATAAGTACACACACACACTTTTTTATAGAAAATGGTATATTCCACCTGATGGTAAGCGGATACTGTGGACTTTAGACATCTACGTCTATCCTTGATTAAGAATCAAAATGCAGATGCGTTATCACCCCTGTGGACTAAGATGGAATACAAAGCCTCGTTTCTATTAAAAAGGGTCTCCGGTCATCTACACTCACCATATGAAGCACAGCAGTGTTAAGCTGCTATTTTACGCTGGTAGCTGTGAGCGTAGTACTTCCCCGGCCGTACCGACTCATTCGTGATACAAATTTACTTCTAATATAGCTACAGCATGGCTCTACCACATACCAAACCACGTTTTATTTTTTTATGTTAAGAGATGATAAAAAGAACCACAAACTAATATAACAATTATAACATTATATTCTATACATATACTCACGGTGTAAACAAAGTTGCCCACTACTAGAAAACCACCATCCTTCCCACTTGGCCACAGCACATGATGGCTGGCCAACAGCATGGGCAGCCAGAACAGCAGGATAGAATGCAGCAGAGCATTCACTGCCCATATCCAGAACACTCGTACATTGAATAAAAGACCCTTTTGTGACGGTATGTATAGAACAGGATGCTGTCAAGAGATTAGGAAAAGTAATTTAGGCTGAAAGTTCATTGGTGCTTTATTAAGTCCAAATGGCAAAAACCATAGTCACAATTAATTCAATAAAATAAATAAATCATTAATGCTAAAGTTAATTATTCATTAATTAACATAATATTTTCATTAATATAATTTAAAATAGTCTAGCTGGATTTCTTGCTGGTTATTCTCCTCAGGACTGACGTTTTTTTCCGAACCAGTGATAAAAAAATAAACGACTTTCAAAAAGTATTGTTGTAATCTGTCATCATCATTATCATCATTATTACAGCCCTTCCACAAGTCCATTGCTGAACATAAGCCTCTCCCAAGTAATGCCACAAAACTGAGCCACCTGTATCTATCGATTTCTGTCTTACCAGGTCGTCACTACATCTATATTAAATAAAAATTATTCTATTCTATTCTGAATTCTCAAGTTACTTTTTAGTAATTAAACAGTTAAAAGAGACTCATATTGACTTCATTTTGTTTTAATATAAGGTTAGAGTATATTTTGTTACGGAATGCAATACCTACCCTTAACATAATCTCAGGTGAACACAACTTGTCGAAGAGACCGATCGCAAACGGTGGAAGCGCCGTGAATATCACGTTGTAGAAACCTATCGTCCATCTCTCGAACAGTATCTGACCTGACCTGTGCGATCACGAAAACTTATTAATGATTGTAAACATAACCCTATGTATATACTATAATATTTATTACGTAGTAGAGCCACGATGCTGCTATATTATGGTTGTAGCGCGAACGGATCGGCTCAACCGAAGTAGGACCACGCTCTCACAGAATACAAGCGTAAAATAGCAGCTTACATTAGTGACCTATATTTTAAAACTTTTTCTCTGTATTTATAACAAAATGTAGACTAAATATAGAATTTAATACTATAATTATTAAAACATATATTTCGTATCTCTTTTAAAATCTAGTCAAGATGAATATTAAAATTATGATAAAAGAAACTATGTGAAGTCAGAATATTACATAGCAAGCCGTCGTCAGTCCGAACTTCAGTTAATTAGAGACATTCATAATCCGAACGAATCCCTGTTATCCCCCCTTTATTTTGCTTCTTTCTTTTTTTATAAAATAAGAGTAACAAACGAGCACACAGTCAACTTAAAGGTAACTGAATACTGTGGCCATATCTTTTCTCGATTAATCATCAAATGTCAGATGTGTTGTCAAAAAGAGTTTCCGGTTCTCTACACTCACCATACGAAAGCAATATTAATCTGCTATTTTGCGCTGGTATTCTGTGAGCGCGTGGTCCTACCCCAGTCAAGCCGACCCATTTCGCTCAGGGTTACCGAAAATGGATCGATGACTACATTTTGATATAAGAAATAGACCATTAAGATATTCGTGCTAATTTTTTTATTTTATCAGAATAGATATTTTAGGAGTTGCATTGGGGGAAAGTTCAAATTTAAGTATTATATTAGAACTTGATCAATACTAACGTGAAAATTTTCTTAATTTTGTAGTATCTAAAAATTATTAAAAAATATACTAAGAATTTAATTTCTACTACTTCCATTCCCAATGGAAAAGTTTTATCTTAACATTTCGTAAAACTGCTCTATCATTAAAATGTTGATTACGACTGAATCTTCCTATTTTATCTGATTTGGTTTTTGGATTTTTTGAAATATCGGGTAAAGTTTTTTAAAACTCACCACGCTGAGTATATCGCGAACCACAGCTCGATGACATACAAGCAAATGTTCTTGTAGAAGGAGTAGAGAATGAGCTTGCTTATCCTCGAGTAGTTCCACGCGCCGTGCACTAATAAGAGTCGTAACAGGAAACGGAACTAGACGGAACAAAATATAACAGAAAATTTAACTTAATGTTAAAATTTAATATTCAAGATCATTGCTACGTGTATGTGTGCGTATACGTGTGCGTGTACGTGTGTGTGTGTGCGTATACCTACGCGATGCTGTAGTTGCAGATGTACGTGTGCGTGTACGTGTGTGTGTGCGTATACGTGTGTGTGTACGTGTACGTGTGTGCGTGTGTGTGTATGTACCTGCGCGATGCTGTAGTTGCAGATGTACGTGTGCGTGTACGTGTGTGTGTGCGTGTACCTGCGTGATGCTGTAGTTGCATATGTACGTGTGCGTGTACGTGTGTGTGTGTGCGTGTACCTGCGCGATGCTGTAGTCGGAGGCGCAGACGGCCTGCAGCCCCTCGACGCCGGAGATGCCGACGCCCACGGACGCGCGCTGGATCATCGCCACGTCGTTGGCGCCGTCGCCGATCGCCAGCGTCACCGCGCCAGTCGCACGTGACACCAGGTCCACCACCTGATGCAAAAACATGCTTTCTAAGCAAACGCTCCTGTGTATGTATACTGCTAGACCAGCAATTCAAAACGAAAACTGTGTCACAGTTGTATATCACGCAGGCTTTGTAGAGAATCCAGTGTTTTTCTCGAAATTAATGTTGGCTGAATTACTGTTTAATGGCCCACATGTATCTAAACTAGCTAGCAAACTTAGTTCTAGGACGGCTCCGTGGCGCACTGGCTTAGCAATGAATTGCAGCGCTAGGGACCACGGGTTCGAATCCCGCACGGCCTAAATATATGTATGACTAATAATTGTTCCAGGTCTGGTCTGGTCATATTCGTGCTTATTTATTTATTCATTTACTTTATTCGAGACAAAACAGAAACAAAAGATTTGAAAAAAAATCGTACAAAGTAAAATAAACAGTGGTAATTACAATTGTTCCCTACAAACTGTCTCACTGAGGACATACATAAGTATATTATGAAGCAGATCGTAATTGATATCGTCTGCACAACAAGCAGGGTAAACAAGTCTATACTTAAAGAAAACAATCATCAGAAAACTAAAATGTACAATACTAATATATTATTATATATCCTTATATGTATATCCAATTCATAATTGTTACTAAAATAGTTTTTTTTAGGTTTTACATCATAGATTGCTCTTATGGCCCTCTTTTGTAAAACAAATATAATTTCAGTGTCAGTCGCGTGTCCCCATAGTAAGATACCATACGACATTATGCTATGAAAATAGCTAAAGTAAACAAGTCTAGATGTTTCCACGCTGGTAAGATTTCTAATCTTTTTTACAGCATATGCTGCAGAACTAAGTCTGCTTGCTAATTTTGATATATGGGGGCTCCATTGATGCTTCGCGTCTATGTACACAAAAACAAAAAAGCTTTATTAAAAATAGTGATGTACATTCTCTAAATACTATGAACATGCACAAGTTAGTTATACCAGTACACGACTCTAGAGTCAGTAATTCCTTTATGGGGTAATGTACATACGCTTTTACAATAAAGTCCCAGAAAATAAGGATCTTTTCTTCTCAACACCTGAGGTTTATTTCGAACCAGCATCGATCACTGATAAAAACTAGATGCACAATCCCATACAAAAGTTCTCTAAAAACTGTCGCCAAATGTTTTGATGTAATTATACTTGATTTAAATATATATTAATGTAAATTCAACCTTAAGTGAAAGACCTAAAGTTGTATTGTCAAAGCAACGTACAAAAAGCAATAAAATTTTACGACCGGGGCTCGTCGCTTGGACAAGGAGAGTGGAGTCGAACTACACAATATTTTTGTTACTGTAATTTTTTATAATTTTTAAAACTTGTATTAAATAATTGGTCTACTTAATAAAGTATATTCTATGGTGTATATGTGTAATGGTTATATTATTACCTGAATGTAAATATACTTTTGGATAGGGCACCACATTCATTTAGTAATGAAAGTAATTGAAACAGTCATAATTATTTATTTATTCTTTATCTTGTGTGAAAAATTTAAAAATGTTGTTTGATAAACAAGTTAAATCTAAATATAAAAATATAAGTACAGAAAGTTCTTACAAAATCTAAGAATATTACCGTCGAAATTTTGACGTAATATTCATATTTACAGATGTTTAAAAAAAAACGGATAAGACTGAATAATTATAATGATTTCTTATATTTACGCGTTCACTACATATTTAAATGAAACTAGTTTTACGGATTTTATCGCGTATATTAACTTATTTTATATTCCCGACGTTTCGAGTACTATAATAGTTAGAGAAACAGTAAAGAACTCTCATTAAGCAAAAAAAAAAAACAATCATACTTTAATAATAAAAAAAAACCATAGCGTTTCCACAAATGGAACAGAATCAACGCATATACCTCGAACAATGACAACTTATTTTATTACGACTTAATTTAAAAAATACTTTTACGATGATTTCTTGACAAAATATCACTATTTACAATACAGTTATAACAATTAAATAATGTTAATATTAATACTTACCGAAAATATGAAATTCCATCCTTTTTTAGCGTTCTGGATGTGTGATTTTTACACTTTTTAAACGAGCTTTGAGGCATGTTTACCGTCGGAGCATTCGAATGCTACTAGATTAAAAGTGCACCCATATGTTCGAGTGGGTGCACATTCGGTTATGCCATTTTTTGTCACTGATTGTGTATCTAGTTTTTTATTAGTGATCTATGCGAACCAGTGATAAAGATTCAGTAAGTATTGTTGTAATCTATATTGAATAAAAATTATCTATTCTGTAAAATAACAAATAATCCCAAAATCTACACTCAATTTTTTTAAATATATGATCTGTATATACAGGTTGTCCGGTAAGTAATGGATAACCCCGCGGGTACACGTGGGGTAGTCTAAATTACAAATTTTTATTTTTAAGTTTTTTTATAGAATTGGGGTGATAAACGAGCACACAGTCCACCTGATGGTAAGTGCTTGCTGAGGCCCATAGACATCTACATCTATCTTTAGATCATCTTTCAGATGCGTTGTCAGCCGTGAGGACTAAGAATGCCTCTTTTCCAGTACAATAGGTATCTCCGGTTCTCTACACTCACCCTACGAAACAGCAGCATTAAGCTGCTATTTTACGCTGGTATTCTGTGAGAGCGTGGTCTTTCCCCGGTCGAGCCGACCCATTCGTGCTACAACTTTACTATTAATATAGCTGCAGCATGGCTCTACCACGTAAGTATTTAAAAAAAACCAGTTACAACAAGAAATAATATACATTCAAACATTCCCGGTTAATTCCAGAGAAAATCAATTAGTTATTAATAAATTTCTAGGCGTAGTACTCAATAATGTGAACGGAGGTATCAAAAACATACTTAAAAAAATAATAATTTTTATTTAATTTTTTTGAGTGGCCGAGGTGTCCCATACCAGTATTTGCGGGGTTATCCATTACTTAGCGAACAACCTGTAGATATTTTAATCATAATATCATCATTATCATTACAGCCTTTCATAAGTCCACTGCTGAACATAGGCTTCCCCCAAGGAATGCTACAAAGCACGATCCTGAGCTACCTGCATCTATCGACTTCCTGCATGTCTTACCAGGTCGTCACTCCATCTCATGGGGGGTAGCCCTACACTTCGCCTACCGGTACGAGGCTGCCACTCAAGAACCTTTCTTCCTCATCGGTTGTCGGTTCTTCGAGCTATATGGCCGGCCCACTGCCACTTCAGCTTACTAATCCGTTGGGCTACGTCGGTCACTCTGGTTCTACTGCGGATATCCTCATTTCTAAGTTTATCACGCAGAGAAACTCCGAGCATAGCCCTCTCCATAGCTCGCTGAGCGACCTTGAGCTTCCTCATACGGCCAGCAGTGAAGGACCACGTCTCAGATCCGTAAGTCATCACTGGCAACACGCACTGGTTGTATAATTTCGTTTTAAGGTTTCGAGGTATGTCTGACGAGAAGATGTGTCGTAGTTTCCCGAACGCTGCCCAGCCGAGTTGAATCCGTCAATTGACCTCTCGGTCGAAGTTGGACTTACCTAGTCGGACTATTTGTCCCAGGTAAACATACTCGTCAACAACTTCGAGCTTAGTGCTCCCAACAACTACCGGCATAGGTGTGACATGGACATTGAACATGATCTTTGTTTTGTCCATGTTCATATTAAGACCTATCCGTTGGGAGACACTATTGAGGTCATTGAGCATGGTGCTTAGATCCTCCAGCGATTCTGCCATAAGGACTATATCGTCGGCAAATCGAAGGTGAGTGATGTACTCGCCATTGATGTTAATACCGTATCATTTCCAGTCCAGAAGCTTGAAAACGTCTTCCAATGCAGCGGTGAAGAGTTTCGGGGATATAACGTCACCCTGTCTTACACCTCTCTGCAATTGGATAGGTTTCGTACTCTGGTTCTGTACTCGGATAACCATCGTAGCCCTACTGTACAAGCACTTCAGCACTTCGATATACTGACAGTCAACTTGGCACCGCTGAAGGGACTGCAGCACCGCCCAAATTTCGACGGAATCAAAGGCTTTCTCATAGTCCACATACGCCAGACATAGTGGCAAATTGTACTCCTCTGACTTCTGTACAATTTGCCGAAAGGCATGTATGTGGTCTATGGTGCTAAAGGCCTTTCGGAAACTGCCTTGTTCGGGAGGCTGGAAGTCGTCAAGTCAAGTAAGTTTAACCATATAGAGAACATGATACAATAATAGGTCTTACGCCACAAGAAAAATGCATGTATCTTTCAAATCTAAATAACTTTTTATTATTGATCAATTTGTAATCCAAGTAAAGGTATTTACCTCAGCCTTCTGTATGGGCGAGACGCGGCAACATACGACCACCTTGCACGAGATGCAAAGGTCGAGGAAATCCTTCTTCAAGTCGCATCCCATTGCGTATTTCATAGTCTTGCCGTCGATGATGAGCGCCACGTCGTTCTCTTTGCGCAGGTTCTCACCAAAGTCTGCCGAGTGTCGGGATAGGCTTTCCCGAGTGCCCTGAAAATTTGACCAGGTTTTGAAGCCAGTTTTGAATTTAATGTCTCTAACATAGACTAGTGGTTCAGAAATTTTAAAGTAGAATGCAAATGCATGCAAATTATTGCATTCTATTCTATAAATTTATAAGATAAGGTTGTGTTTTCAATGGGTATTGTGGGGGTAGTGATAATGTGTGATGGTGAATTGTAGCGATTCAAATTTTCTAGTATACACTTTTTTGGTTTGGATGTGAGGTAAACAATTGTGAGCATCTATGCAGGTAGCAGGCAGTGCTGCTCATCCCCTGTTTTAGTTTCCCTCTGCCACCCCTTACAACACCCACGGGATAATGTATATGGGGTAGTGGATATTCTTACACCGCAACTACTCGGTTCACACCCAACTATAGTTCACTGGTAAGCCTATATCTTCAATAAATAAAAGAATTGTTTAGCTGTGTGAATTTTGATTTCATCCGGGCTAAGTAGTTATCTAGTTGAATTTATTTTGTTAAGGAACAGAACGCGCACATCTTTGAGCTACATAGTTCCAAAATAGGTCATGTGCTTTAGATAAGATATTTTTTTATAGAATAAGAGTGACAAACGCACACACAGTCCACCTGATATTAAGTAGATGCTGCGGTCCTTAGACATCCGCATCTATTCTCAATCAAGGATCAATATGCAGTTGTGTTCGCATAGTTACGGAATGAGATGGAACGCCTCGTTATTAGTTAAACCAGCAGCTTCAAGCTACTATTTTACGCTGGTATTCTGTAAGAGCGCGGTACTTCCACGGTGGTGTATACCCCTTCGAGTTGCAACGATAATATAGATACAGCGTGGCTCGATTACGTATTATTTAAGATGAAATATTGTGTTATGGCAGTATGTGGCGATTGATGGCGATATGTAGCGATAGCTGGCGGTGGCACTGACGTCGAGGCTGTCCTCGTTGAGCAGCAGCAGCGGCGTGGCGGGCCCCACGAGGCGCGCCGAGTGCGCGATGTTGATGGCGGTCTCCTGCTTGTCGCCCGTCAGCACCCACACGCGGATGTTGGCCTTCAGCAGCGCCGCGATCGTCTCCGGCACGCCCTCCTGACACACATCGTCACCATACACATCATCTTTCCTTTTTGTGAAAGTACTTCAAATGAAAAAAAAACGTGTGCCGTTCACATGTGGTAAAATTGAAACCTTCAGAAAATTGCAAGTAAAATTGCTTTGTAATAGCGCCTTCTACTTAATTGTAGAGGTAAAGTCATTTCATCGAATAAAAAAAATTGATTGAATCTTCAAGTTTGTCTATACGTACGTACCACGTAGAATAGACGCTAGATGGCCTAAGCACGGCAAATCTATACAAATAAATAAAATTGAAGTGTCTGTTTGTAATATTAATATAACAGCTTTATACTAAATGCATACGAAAGTATATAAGGTACTAATAACAAAAAAAAAAAACAATTTTTCAAGTCAAATTTTTGACCCATGAAATCGTAGTAAATTCCACGTGAACGAAGTCGCGAGGGACAACTACTTATCTTAATAAATTCCACACGGGCGAAGTCGCAGGGTTCAGCCAGTTTAATACAAATCGCTAAGTTATGAAATTGTGGATTATTATGAATGGATTGTATATAATAATTTTATTCACTTTCCTCTTGAATCATTGATGAAAACGGCATCAAAATCCGTTGCATAGATTAAAAGATCTAAGCGTACAGACGACGGGAAGCGACTTTGTTTTATACCTACTATGTAATGACAGTGATGAAGATCTTAAGAGCACCACACTAAGAAAATACCAAGATAATAGGAAACACTGTTTACTGTATTCTATCTCATTCTCTCACACGCTAACTCCTATGGATTAATGTTTATTTCTTAGTAGTGTAGCTTTTTCGTTTCATGGAATTTCATATCACAATAATTCTAAAGAAAGCTTTTAAAAAAAATTTACTTTGCAAACATCCGCGCTTTAAAATAAAATGATGTGTCTTACCTAGTATGAAGAGCACCTCCCGCCCTCCCTCAATTACGTGCACTATCCCCGTCATCACTAATCCCAGCACCACTACTCCCAGCACCGCTAAGCGGTTAGCCACCGTAGAGTCTATATCACCTGAGGATGCCTCGTGTAGAGGCGAAACACGTGTCGTATTGTCGTCAGTGGTGTGTCTTGCCTAGTGTAGTGGTGCTGGGAGTAGCGGTGCTGGGATTAGTGGTGACGGGGATAGTGCACGCAATTGAGGGAGGGCGGGAGGTGCTCTTCATACTAGGTAAGACACATCATTTTATTTTAAAGCGCGGATGTTTGCAAAGTAATTTTTTTAAAAGCTTTTATATAATGGATTTCCGCAACGTAACGCCTGATTCTATTAGTTAAATTCTAAAGAAGTTTTCATTTCTAAAATTAAGAATATTTCAAAGACACGGGCTGCAATAAGCATTAGGGTAAAAGACGCTTGTGCCCGGCAGTGAGATGTAATGTCAGACATACCTGCAGCTTATCCTCGATGGCCGTGGCGCCTAGCAGCCGTAGATTGTTCTCGATGAGCAGCGCAGCCTCCTCGATCTTCTGCTCGCGATCCTGTATCGCGATGCTCGCTTTGTGGTATGTGTTCGACCATTCCTGTTTATAATTCATTACCATTGTTTCAGACCAACATAGAAAGGTAAACAGAACACTGATCTAAGTATACATTTCAAGTGACGCCGAGACCAAGCCAATACCATGCTTAATTTATCGCAAAACACGCACACACACATACCTTAAATAATTTGCAACCGATAACGTGGTTTTAGATGTACGAGTACATGTGTGGATCCCGCGTGGGACTTTTATGGTTTGATAAAGAAAGAAAGAAAGTAATAAAGAAGAAAGATGTCGGCGTGAGTGCGTTTCTAAGTTGTATAGCTTCGGCGTCACTTGACATGTAGAATGTACATTCTGTCTAACTGAGAATATAAATGTAACGAGCCAGTTGAATTTTGCATCATGTTTAGACGAAACAGAAACACAAACTTTTTTATTCAATATAGATTATAAATAATACTTATTGAAAGTCACTCTTTTGTTTGATTACCACTGGTTCGGAAAAAACCTCTGTCCTGGGAAGATCCAGCAAGAAACCCAGAGGGACTTTTTTTTTAAATAACAGCTTACAATTATGATGTTACACAAATTAACAACACAACAAATTAGAAATAGCTTGGTAGCGATCACCTCATTTCCAGGGGTTATTATCATCCATAAATTCCTTAATATTATAATAACCCTTTTTATACAAACTTAGTTTAATAAACTTTTTGAACTTTGAGCAGGTCAAACTTTGTATATTTTCTGGAATTTTGTTGTAAAAGCGTATACATCGCCCCAAGATTGAATTACTTACTCGATGGAGTCGAGTAACTGGTACTACTAGCTTGTGTCTGTTCCTAGTATTTACAGAATGAATATCACTTATTTTTGTAAAACTACTTTTATTTTTGTGTACGTACATTACATTTTCATAAATGTATTGAGAGGCCAAAGTTAATATATTAATTTCCTTAAATTTTTGTCGCAGCGACTCTTTAGGCTTTAAATCATAAATTGCTCTTATGGCCCTCTTCTGTAAAACAAATATAATTTCAGTGTCAGCTGCGTGTCCCCATAGCCAAATACCATACGACATTATGCTATGGAAATAGCTAAAGTAAACTAGTCTAGCTGTTTCAACACTGGTAAGACTTCTAATCTTTTTTACAGCATATGCTGCAGAACTAAGTCTGCTTGCTAGAAGAAAACATTTCCTAATATCAGTATTCCATAGTCCATTGCTATATTTACATCTCTACGGGCTAAATCTGAATAAAAATGTTAATATATGTGGGATATTAATGTAGTTTTATCATCTGGTTGGGTTGGGTTTTTTTTTTATATTCTACTAAGTCAGTGCTTATCTACAATCCCACCTGATGGTAAGTGGTGATAGAGCCTAAGATGGTGAAGCGCACTGACTTAACAAAAGCCTATTCACTCTTGCCTTGAAGACACCCACACTGTAATCGGATGGAAAGAGAGATGCTGGCAACTTATTCCACTCCTTTGCTGTACGCATGATGAACGACGTAGCGAACCGTTTGGTTCGAATCCGTGGTAAGTCAACAACGAAAGGGTGGAGACTGGCCGACCGTCTGGTTGTCCGATGGTGGAAGGGAGAGGGGGGAATGAAATTATGTAATTCCTGCGCACACTCTCCGAAACGCATCCTGTAGAAAACCGAAAGGCTGGCTACTTTACGTCTGTGTTCGAGGCTGGTAAGATTGGTTTTAACCAAATTCGGGTCACCAATAAGCCTCTTAGCACGCCTTTCCATTGAGTCCAGAGCTGCTAGGTGGCATTTTGCAGCACTAGGCCATATATGGCAGCAATACTCCATGCACGACCGGACTTGCGCTTTATATAAAGTTAGCAGCTGTCCCGGCGTGAAGTATCGCCGCACCTTTGCAAGGACTCCCAGCTTCCTTGCAGCTGCTTTGGCCTTGGACTCAATTAACCGCCCGTAGTTCAAATTTGAGGATATTTCAAACCCTAACAACTGCAGGCGGTCGGTATATTTCAGTGATAGATTTCGGAAAGAAGGAGCAATGGTGAGCTGGCTCCTTTTTTCAGTGAAGAGACACGCTTGTGTTTTGGAGGCGTTCAACTTCACAAGATTGACATCGCCCCAATCGGAGACTGCCTGTAGTGTGAGATTCACACGCTCTACCATAGCTTCTCTTTCGAACCGGATTTGATCCCGACTAGCCCGAGGACTTGGTTGGTATCGCTCAACAACTGTGCTATCGTCTGCATACCCATAGATACCGGGCATAAGCAGATCATTAATATACAGCAGGAAGACAGTTGCGGAGAGAACGGACCCCTGAGAAACACCGGCTTTAGTCGCCATAGGATCGGATGAGCAGCCATCGACGACGACCCGGAGAGACCGTTCACTCAGAAAGTCCTTTACCCATTCAATCAGACCAGGGGATAAGCCGTACGCTGGAAGCTTAGTCAAAAGGCTAGTGTGCCAAACTCTGTCAAAGGCCTTCGAGACATCAAGGGAAACAGCAAGTGCTTCCCCACGGTTCTCGAGTGCCTCGCCCCATACGTGTGTGGCATACGCTAGAAGGTCCCAGCTGACCGATTTCGGCGAAACCCATATTGCCGGTCACTAAGAAGGTAATTCTGTTCTAGGTATACCATTAAGCGGGCATTCAATATACGCTCCATAATCAGATTGGCCGATAATTGGCAGGGTCGGCGCGGCTGCCTTTTTTTGGAACAGGCTGTACGTTGGCCAGCTTCCAGGATTTTGGCACTATTCCAGTACTAAATGAGAGGCGGAACAAGCGTGTCAGTCAACACAGGGGACAACTCAGGTGCACAAGCCTTTAGGACTATGGCTGGTATACCATCTGGTCCACTAGCTTTATTCACGTCTAGACACTGCAAGTTTTTTAAGAACCTCCTTATTCGTTATATGAATCTCCGACATAGACGTATAAATGTATAAATTATACATTCAATATAGTAATATAAATAAATAATACATAAATAAATACCCAACCAGATGGAAGGCAGGGGTATTTACTTGTGCTAAGCATGTCACGTCTGTATACGTGTCAAAGTGTGAGTGAGACCATAAGCGGGTATGGTTAGCTACTGATCACTGCATCACACACGCACACTATCACAACGTGCATGTACAAGTTCAAACACGAGTAAAGTTCGCTCGATTTCATGAATTGCAAGAACTACAACTTGCTTAGTCTCAAGATTCCAACGAGGAATCTGTGACATAATTTCTGTTATTTATTTATTAATTTATTTACTCTTTATTGTACACCAAAATACAGAAAACAAGTAGAGTTCAACCTATAGTATAATATATAAAACAGGTGTCTTATCACTCTGAAAGTGATCTTTTCCGGACAACCTTTGCATAGAGGACTGATGCAAACAATAGTTAAAATACGAAGAATGTGGAGAGGTAAAGAGTTCTATAAACGCACAGCAGTGACAGTAAAGGATTTCTTTAAAAAGGATCAAAAGTGCAGATTAGTAGAGCGAGAAAGATTGAAAGAAAATCGAAGGAACCGATTATGGGTAAGGGAAAGATACTGAAAACGATCTTTTAAATAATGTGGATAATGGAGAGGAAGGATTAAACAGCACAACATACAAAGCGGAGAGAATGTGAGTATTCCTGCGAAGGCGAAATTTAGTTCTGTAACTTCGTCGGCTAACCTTATAAACATGTTCAGGTATGTCAGCTACGGCGAAGACCAAAGTCCTGAGGCCTTCGGTCGCAAAGTGCTCCAAATGCGCCAAAGTAGCTTCTGCATACTTGGCGTTCTCTGGTCCACCGGCCAACCGGGGGTATATGACAGAGTCTGCCCCTTTGCAGTATAGCTTGATTTGACCTGGAAACATATATATTAATCAAATGAGCAGGAATAATTATATACTTACGGCACGGCATGGTATACGGTACTTATGGTATATACCTCTAGAACATCGTTTTCAATTTCACAGTTCGAAAGCAACTCAGGTTCGAATCCCGCCGGCACCAGTGAAATCGTTTATTGCAATTTTAAGTGCTGATTTATCAAGTGTTTAGCGAAGAATGACACCTGCAGTTACAGCCTACATACGTTCCATTGCTGGACACAGACCCCTCTCATTTTAGAGCTAAGGATCAATGAATCTAATGCACTGCTCCATATATTGAGTGCAGTATGAGTATTTTGTACGTGTTGGAGCCATGCTGTGGGGTGTTATATCTGGGAACCGAATATTTGGTGATCTTTCCGAATATTTTGAAGGCTTTCGAATGTGTTCACCATGAGACAATAATAATAATAATAAGAGGCTCTATAAATCATTGGAGCGGGCATTGGTACATGGAACGGGCCCAGCACCGAATCAGCCCGACGCTGTTGCATTCTGGCGCGGCCTGTGGTCAGAACCCGTAAACCACATCGAGAGCCCTTGGAAGGAAGTTGTGGCGAGTCAGTGTGCGAATGTTACGCCCATGGACCCCGTCATCATAACGCCGGATGACGTAGATGATGCGGTCCGTAGGGCTCCGAACTGGAAAAGTCCTGGACTCGACGGACTGCATCACTACTGGCTGAAGGTGTTCGTGGTATGTCACGCTGTGTTCGCCTGACAGTTTCAAGAGGCTCTTGACCAAAAGTCACTCCTGAGCCTCTTCACTACTGGGATCACTCATTTGGCTCCTAAAAATCGGGATTCCACAGACTCGAGCAAATACCGCCCAATAACGTGTCTACCTATTATATACAAGACACTAACATCCATTTTGAGCGCGAGAATTACTCGTCACCTGAACTCAAATCAGGTGATGACGCGCGCTCAAAATGGATAGCGGGGCGGTGGTCGTGGAATCAAGGAACCACTCCTCATTGACGCGGTCATTGGCAAGGAGGTTAAACGCAACCGTCGGAACCTCTCCGCCGCCTGGATAGACTATAAAAAGGCATTCGACTCGGTACCTCATACATGGCTGAAGAGGATCATCGAGCTTGTACTGCAGCTTGAATGTACAGTTCGAGACTTCCTCAGGCAGTGTATGGGGCAGTGGAGTACGGTCCTTTGTCATCTAGACGAGCGGATGACGGCTGCGGAGAAACACATAAGTATAAGAAGGGGTATTTTCCATTTATCATTCTTCCCTTATCTTCCATTGTTTGAGTCCAATCTGGTTCTGCCTCTCTTTGAACCCTTTCAGTACCTTACTGGAGGGTTCTGGGAGGGGATTTCAGCTTCGGAAAGGAGGTACAAAAGTGAACTACTTTTTCTATATGGATGATCTCAAGTTATTCGCCTCCAGTCGCTTCCATATTATGGAATTGCTAAACATCATTTGTAATTTTCGCAATTCTATTAGAATGGAGCTGGGGACGGGACGGATAAGTGCGGTCCTCCATGTCGAAATTTTGGGTTGCTAACTCTGAGGGCATAGACTTGTCTATGGCCATCAACATTAAACCCTATCCGAGGCTGAAATATACCGATACCTGGGTATGTCACAGAACATAGGTATCGATGAGGCGGACATGAGGCAGTCAGTTTGAGATGTGTTATATGCACGCTTGACAAAAGTGCTTAACAGTCTTTAGCCGGGCGTAAATAAAACACACGCATATAACGGTTGGATCATGTCTGTTCTCATGTATACATTTGGCATATTCAGGTGGTCGCAGACTGAACTGAACGCTCTGGATAGATCCGCATTATTATGACGTCCCACAGGATGCATCATTTGAGATCGTCAGTAATGAGGAGGAAAGTCAATGTATGCTTAACTACCTAGGATAACAAAACATATACTAATAGAATTTGTAAAAATTTAATTTTGAGTACATTGTACGACGATGTCATATTAATATTAAAAAAAAAACCATAACTTCAAAACTACAAGACCTAGGACAATAAATTTAAGTGTTTTTCTTAGATATTAATTTTCTCTATTCCCCATACCCCGTTGGGTCACTGTTTACGGGACAACCTGTATATAAAAATCAAAAGCAGTCCATTAGTCTCGCTGAAGCTCGAAACTAGCTCGACTGATTTTGATGAATTTCTTTGTGTTTAAGTGAATTCCTGTATAGCTTAAATTCACAAATGGAACTGGTAGGTGGTACTGTTATGGGTCGGACTTCACCTCGGTCCCAATTGGCGACATGTGGTGAGCCAGAGATTATTCCCCGTAGCGTACCTGTGGGCGCGCGCACGATGACGGACATGCGCTTGCGCGCGGACGTGAAGGCGAGCACGTGCAGCACGTCGTACTGCTGCGGCGGCGCGTGCGGGCCGGCGCGGATCTCCACGCTGTGCGGCGTGCGCGTCTCGAACACGAACCCGAACGCGGCCGCGCCCAGCACCAGCGCGCGCTCGTCTGCACACGCAAAAAAAACATTAAACATTCTGTTATAACAACAACCACACGCACACAGAAACGCACATTCACACACAGAAACCATAGACAGACTAAAGCAAGAATTATAAAATTACACAACCTATGTAAAATTTTAACATTAGGGTAAACAGTACTAATGTTGGCACTCCTACAATAATTGGCATTTTGCTATTTTAATCTAAATATTAAGAATGTTTTCCTTTTTCTATATCACAGCTACACAGATATTGCTAAGATATATAATTACTTATACTAACAATACACATTTATATTTAAATTTAAAGCCTCAACTACTTTCCTATAAAGTCGCGTCGTTTGCGGACAAATCCGTCAAAATTTAACAAAAAGTTAAGATTTTGTGGCTAGATTTTATGTAAGTTTCTGTCTATTTTAATCAATTAACATCATTAAAGCATACTAAACGTTATTTTATCATTGTGAAATATAAGCATCGGTTTTTTTAATTGTGCCAATGACTATACTTTACTTTGTTTGACTACATAATCTTTGACATATATGTCAATCACTATACTTTCTTTCTTTGTCCAAAATCTTTTCTTGACACTGCCAATGACTATATCCTTTAAGTAGTGCCAATGATTATGACTGAACTTTTCCATATTTTGAATTGATGAAGAATACTGCTATTAAGAGAGGACGCTTTAGAAAAATAACAGCCACACTTTTTCATAATAAACATTCCACGCGCGAATTTACAGTTCCCGCTAAATAAGTGAAGTCAAAAAAACTAACAAGCTGAAAAGCCGACCTGGTCCTGGCACAATTTTCGATGTCATGAAAATGTCAATGATGTGAGGTTCTTGAATAAATACCCCATACATACTAAACCGTTTTATAGAGGGAGAGTAAAACGTCTATGAGGTGGATCATACCTAATCGAAGCCTTGCATCACTGTTCTTTGGAGTAGACGGTAAAGCCTATTATTTTCTTCCTATAGAAAATGTGATCAGACGTTCAAAAGTTAGTGCCTAGAGAGAGGGTTATTTACTATCTTAAATACGGCGCAACTTTGCCCAAGTCTCGCCATAATACTTATAGCCCTTAACCTGAATGCAACGCGACTATTGCAACCATCTGATATCACTGCATTTCGGCCTAACAAAGATATGTGGCGTAAACCTGTCTTCGAATGACGGACAAACAATATGACAAAAAGGTTACTAAAACGGATGCGGGCCTATATTAGCAAGACTTTTACCGTATTGAAATAAATCTACATTATGAAATGATTTTGATACATGTGGGTTGTGGCCGTTTAGTTCAGACAAAGAGGATTAAACAAAGTGTCCGATGCCCTCGAAATCACAGCAAGCCATTTTAGATGATCACCGTTCCGTGCCATTACGCCCAATCACCAAATATTTTAAGAATAACGACTAATAACGACTGAATCAGAAATACGTGTATCAAATTTGCCTTGTAACCTTTCACTTAATAATGGTTTATCAGTACCAGAGCGTATACAACCTGCAGAGATTATTGTTGAGTATCAGAAAGAAAACTAACCCTTATGTTTTTCATCAACTACGCAGCAAATTTAGAATTTTTTGGAGGTGAATGGGTGATTCGCTCGCCAAGCGTGGCAACTATGGCAAATACCCCCTCTATGAGTGTAACAAAGAGACGGCCCCCAGTCCCCGGCGGCCCCGCTATTCCTGGCTACGGTGGCGACCATGGTAACGGCAGGGCAGGGGGTGCTAAGAATCTCCGGTGGAGGTTCGGTTGCCACCTTAGACGACTTGACCTGGCAACGTACAACGCACGCACCCTGAGGACTGACGAGAAGATCGTGGAGCTGGAAGAAGAGATAGACAAGTTGCGCTGGCATATTATAGGATTATCCGAAGTCCGAAGAGAGGGGGAGGACACGGTAATCCTCGAATCCGGCAACTTGTTCTATCACCGGGAGGGCGACCATCTGTCCCAAGGAGGTGTCGGATTTATCGTCCACAAGTCTCTCGTTAACAACGTTGTAAAGATCGGGAGTGTGTCGACGAGGGTTGCGTACCTTATACTCAGAATCACCAAACGGTATTCGCTGAAGGTCATACAGGTTTACGCACCAACCTCGGCACACCCCGATGAGGAGGTGGAGGAAATGTATGAGGATATCTCTAGAGCCATGCATTTCTCCAAAACCCAATATACGGTGTTAATGGGAGACTTCAATGCAAAACTAGGCACAAGAGAGAACGGTGAGCTGAAAGTAGGGAAATTTGGAATAGGGCAACGGAACCCAAGGGGCCAGCAGCTGGCCGACTTCATGGAGAAAGAGGGACTCTTTATGATGAACTCTTTCTTCCAGAAGCGGCCCCACAGGAAGTGGACCTGGTCGAGCCCCGACGGTTCGACAAAAAATGAGATTGACTTCATTATGACGACCAGACGACAACTGTTCAGTGATGTCTCCGTGATCGCGAGGGTGAAAACTGGTAGCGATCACCGAATGGTTAGAGGCACACTGAACCTAAACGTTAAGTTGGAGAGGTCTCGTCTAATGAAGTCAACGCTCCGTCCCCCTCGTGCTCTGTACCAAAGTCCCGAAACCTTTCAGCTCGAGTTACAAAACCGTTTTCAGTGCCTAGAAGACTGCAATGAAGTGGACGATATGAATGACAAGCTCGTGGAAACTGTCCATGCGGTCGGAGCTAAGTTCTGCAAGACCCGCCGCAGAAGAACACAAAAACTCTCCGATCACACTCTTAATCTCATGGCTGTTAGACGGGAGATGAGGCTACATTCTTCAACAGACTTGACAGCATACAGGCATCTGAACAGACAGATCTCCAAATGCATGCGGCGGGACTTACGCAACTTCAATACAGCTCGTATTGAAGAAGCGATCGAGCGGAACCAAGGCTCCAAAGTCTTTGCCAGAGATCTGTCTGCCAGAAAGAGCCAACTGTCAAAGCTGAAGACAGAATGCGGCAGCATCGTTTCCGGGACACCTGAGATTTTGAGTGAGATTGAGAGGTTCTATGGGCAGCTGTACACGTCATCGTTGGAGCCACACGCAAGTGTGAGTAACGATCCAAGAGCGAGTCTCATCCGACACTATTCCGAAGATATCCCGGACGTCAGTCTGAGCGAGATTAGAATGGCTCTCCAGCACCTTAAAAACGGTAAGGCCCCAGGCGAGGATGGAATTACAGCGGAGCTTCTGAAAGCGGGTGGAAGACCTGTACTTGAAGTCCTTCAGAAGCTCTTTAATTCCGTCCTCCATGGTGGCATTACACCGGAGGCGTGGAGCAGAAGTGCGGTGGTCTTGTTCTTCAAGAAAGGTGACAACGCTCTCTTGAAGAACTACAGACCGATTTCCCTTCTGAGCCGCGTCTACGTGCTGTTTTCGAGAGTCATTACGAATCGTCTCGCGCGCAGACTTGACGACTTCCAGCCTCCCGAACAAGCCGGTTTCCGAAAGGGCTTTAGCACCATAGACCACATACATACCCTTCGGCAAATTGTACAGAAGTCCGAAGAGTACAATTTGCCACTATGTCTGGCGTATGTGGACTATGAGAAAGCCTTTGATTCCGTCGAAATTTGGGCGGTGCTGCAGTCCCTTCAGCGGTGCCAAGTTGACTGTCGGTATATCGAAGTGTTGAAGTGCTTGTACAGTAGGGCTACGATGGCTATCCGAGTACAGAATCAGAGTACGAAACCTATCCAATTGCAGAGAGGTGTAAGACAGGGTGACGTCATATCCCCGAAACTCTTCACCGCTGCATTGGAAGACGTTTTCAAGCTTCTGGACTGGAAAGGATACGGTATCAACATCAATGGCGAGTACATCACTCACCTTCGATTTGCCGACGATATAGTCCTTATGGCAGAATCGCTGGAGGACCTAAGCACTATGCTCAATGACCTCGATAGTGTTTCCCAACGGATAGGTCTTAAGATGAACATGGACAAAACAAAGATCATGTTCAATGTCCATGTCACACCTATGCCGGTAGTTGTTGGGAGCACTAAGCTCGAAGTTGTTGACGAGTATGTTTACCTGGGACAAATAGTCCGACTAGGTAAGTCCAACTTCGACCGAGAGGTCAATCGACGGATTCAACTCGGCTGGGCAGCGTTCGGGAAGCTACGACACATCTTCTCGTCAAACATACCTCAAAACCTGAAAACGAAATTGTACAACCAGTGCGTGTTGCCAGTGGTGACTTACGGAACTGAGACGTGGTCCTTCACTGCTGGCCGTATGAGGAAGCTCAAGGTCGCTCAGCGAGCTATGGAGAGGGCTATGCTCGGAGTTTTTCTGCGTGATAAACTTAGGAATGAGGATATCCGCAGTAGAACCAGAGTAACCGACATAGCCCAACGGATTAGTAAGCTGAAGTGGCAGTGGGCCGGCCATATAGCTCGAAGAACCGACAACCGATGGGGAAGAAAGGTTCTCGAGTGGCAGCCTCGTACCGGTAGGCGAAGTGTAGGGCGTCCCCCCACGAGATGGAGTGACGACCTGGTAAGACATGCAGGAAGTCGATGGATGCAGGTGGCTCAGGACCGTGCTTTGTGGCATTCTTTGGGGGAGGCCTATGTTCAGCAGTGGACTTGTGAAGGGCTGTAATGATGATGATGATGAATGGGTGATTGTGGATGTCGAAATAAACTAAAATCTTTTAGAAAGCCCTAAAAATAATTATAGAGTTTTTTCCATTGATAAATAGGTATCAAAAAGCAAAAAGCAGGTAAACAACGCCGTTATTTTGTGAAGTGAAGATTCGGAAGCAGCGGAGCTAAAAAAATAATGGAAAAATTGGGCACAAGTGGAAAATGCAGAATTGAATTAGTCAGCCAAATATAGTAACAAACTAACAAACAAAACAAAAAGAACGAAGCCAAAAACTCTGACATTATAATACTCTCTAAATGTTTAATCTAAAAAACCGAAATAAAGTTCTATTTCTACAAAATATTGAGAAAATACGAAAGGTTTTACTAAAAAAGT